GCCCCCCCCCCCCCCCCCTCCCCCCGTCGGACACGACCGAGCACGCTACACCTCCCAGGCCTTCCCGGGCGAGTGCGTACAATAGAAGCGTAGGCAGGCAACCAAAGGGCAGAGCACCAAATGGGAAATTCCACAACTACCATATATGACACAAGATAACACACCCCCTGTACCAATTTTCAAAGCTCGATTTCTCCACAAGAAAGACGATGCATAAACGAAACGATACATTTTTGGAAAGCTCTCGACGAGACGGTTCCAACGCCGCCGTTTTCGGCGCCGTGACTCTTTCGGTTGTCGAGAAATCGAGATTTGAAAATCGGTCCAGGGGGTGTGTTATCTTGTGTCATTTACGGTACTGCTACCAACCACTACACGTCGTGGTGGCGACAACCCATCAAGGGGGGCGGCGGCTTGGTGGCAAAACCGAACCGTTGACAAAACGCGCCCACAGCTCCGTGAACCCCCCCCCCCCCGCCCGGTTAGCACAAAANCGGCGGCTTGGTGGCAAAACCGAACCGTTGACAAAACGCGCCCACAGCTCCGTGAACCCCCCCCCCCCGGCCCGGTTAGCACAAAAGGAGGACTATTAACGCTTCCCGCCGGCCGAGCTGGTGGTGACAAGCCCGAGCGTCTCGACCCCAATCTGGCTTAGCCCGCACGTGACGCACACCGTGCCCTTGGCGGACAGCGGGTAGGCCGAGCCGCAGTAGGGGCACTTGCACGAGGGCGTGCCCCTGTAGATGGGCTTGAGAGACTGGCAGTCCACCTCGAACGGGTTCCGCTCGTCGTAGTCCAGGGTGTGTTCGTTGCGGGCCATCTGCTGGGACTTTTGCAACACCTTCTGCGCCTGCCGTTTTTACATTGTATGCGTGCATGCGTGAAAGTAATAAAAAAAAAAGGCGTGTCGGTCGAAGCGTTGCGTTGCGCGGCAGAACATCCACGTGTAGACGGCAAAAGTCCTGTAGGGGAGGGAGGTGCTCGATAATAGTAGGCGGTGTGAATGAATCCCTTACGGGAGAAAGTTGGCTCGAGCCTCTGCCGACGGAGGGCAGCTATACTACCTTGCACGCACCGAAAAAACAAGCGGCAACAACCGCCTGCGACACCACGACCATGACCAACGGCGCTAACTAACTTCTTGGTCAGCCACCTTGATCAACACTTCGGCGGTGTGTACGCCAAGACCGCACCGATGCCACCAAACGTCCATGAAACAGCCGAAAACAAGAGGATATATATATAGAGCGAGAGAGACAGAAACGCAAAGGCCACACAGCCGTTCCCGCAATGCACACAAAACCATGGCCATACATATCCGGCGTTTCACCAACCCCACCTTGAGTCGGAGATCCGCGTGACGTTCACTCGACAGGTCCGGCAGCTCGAGCAGGCGCTGCGCGAAGCTGGCCGCCGTGATAAAGTTCTTGCCCTTAAACGCGCTGGCCATGGCCATGCGGAGGGCCAGCAGCAAGTGCGCCGGCTGCAGGTTGCAGCAGGTGAAGTACGCCAACAGCTCCATGTTGCGCACCTGCCGAGTGTGCGGAGAGCGGAAGCAAAATAAAACGGGGACTCTTTGAGGGGTGCGCTGTGATTGGCGGAGGGACTATCACACCTACAAGTTCATTCCTCTCAGGCCACGCACACTTTGAACGCGGCTCAGAAGCTCACCAATACACACAACATAAGAGAAATAATAAAAAAAATCTGAACTTCGGGCGTCACACTTGGCACTATGCGATGCAGTTATACCGCATCCTAGCCACAGAGGCAAGGCGTGGTGCGCGCCGGGCCACAGCGCGAAATCCACGCCGGCGCAAAAACAAAAAAAAGGAGCGCTAGGACACGACGCAAAAAAAAAAACACAAGCAACGACACACACACAAAACAAGAAAGGAGCGGGGGGAACATCTGAGTCATCTTGTTTCGTTTTCTCACCGTATCCTTGGTCTCCGCGACGGCGGCCTTAATCCGGATGGCGGTAACGTACTCGCGGCAGATGGAAAGCAGCTACAGCAGTACATGGGACCACGCACGGGCAGGGTTGACACAAAGGGGGGGGGGGGGGGGGGGNGGGGGGGGGGGTCGAGCACGGAAGGAGCACGGAAGGAGAATGAGTTGGAGGGAATCGGTTGTGTTTACAGTTAAGACTTGCAGTACCATGGGTAGCGCCGAAGGCTTGGACACAAGATGCCTCCAGCAACGCGCCCATGTGACATTGCATTTCACACGCCGCACGGATGACTCAACATCAAAGAGGAAAAGGGGAGACTGCGCCCTAAAAAAACAACAACGAGGATTCTCCGTGCTTCTGTTGCCGTTCAAAATGCTAGAGATTCACATACACCTTCGCCCTCCATGCCGGTAGAACCCGTTGATAAGAAAGCGTATTCGCATTTACTTACCCCGCTACAGCTACATGTACAAGACTCATTGGTCCACTGGTTGTACAGCAGTCCAGCAGCGCGGTCGACGCGCTTTCTAGAGACACACAAGCACGTATTTGCATTGGTAAGCCCGTTGGCGCGGTCGATGCTACTACAACACGAAAAAAATACACTCAGGTCGTGACAAAAACACACACACCAGCATACACACACCTCCTTGAGCTCGTTCCCCTCAGCCCGCGTCTCCCCTACGACGAGGGGGACAGCCCTCAAGATGAAGTCGAACTCCTGCCGCGACTCCGCGAAGCTCCCCATGGTAAAGGCCTTGTACGCGGCCTTCAGCCGGTCCAACAAAACCGACGCCTTGAGTGCGACCGCAGGGAGGGAGTTCTAGAGAGGAACATGAAGGTAAGCACAGCAGGGGTGGGAGTGGGGGGGGGTGGGGGGGTACGTTAGGAATGACGACCGGGGAGCCACGCACCAATAAACAATCTATGGTAGGGACAATTAGGGGGCGGGCGGAGCGGCAGGGTAGCGCAAGAGAACGCGACAAATTTCCAATGCCTGCGCGCGGGAATAATCATACTTCGAAGAAAAAGAAAAGGAAAACAAGCACAACCTCACAGCCAGCCACCGCCCCATTCGCGCTCCCCCGGTCCCAATAAGCAGCACACACACATCCTCTCTTTCCTTTCTCTCCACACAGACAAAATAATTATCCTCCTGCTCGAAAATACTTTTATACAACTACATCAA